TAGTTTTCTTCATAACATTGTTTTTTTTTTCAGATTTTTTCTAGGCTACCAGCCAGGCCGCCCGAGTCATCCTATTTTCCCGAACGGTTCATCTGTGAAAGGAAAAAGGAAAAAAAAAAAAAAAAAAAAAAAAAATCAGAAAACAAAGTTAACAAACTATGTTATGCAGAAAAATAAACTGAACAACTTTTGCCTCAGGGTCTCATCGAATTTCTTTACCAAAATTTAAAATAAAAAATAAATTTTAATTTTTTTTTGTTTTTGTTTTTTTGCGCCCGGCCGGGCAAGTGGTCCTGGCCCCCTCTGGTGGCCTAGGTTGTCACACATAAAGTACATCTCTCAGCCTCTCAGGCCATACTCACACGAGGACTTTCCTGCGTGTATCCGACTGCATTTAGTGTCGGTGATGTATGTACCTGACTGGCGTCCAAAAAGGTATATTGATGTGTTAGATCCTTGGGGAATCCCTTTTCTAAATGCTCTTATTATGAGCAACTAACAGTACGCTTACTTGTAGGTGCTAGGTTCAAATCTGACTGGCACCAAACTTGCAAACAAGAATAAAAAGTATTAAAATTTAAAAACAACTTGTTTTTGTTCACACTTGGGATTGCAAAAATGACCGAGTACACACGATATCACACCTTCCGAGCACCTAATTAAAGTCCACACTTGTTTTTGTTTCACACTTGGGGCCAGGTCTCGGGTTCAAATCCACCTGCGCCCAACATACAGTGACTATGCTCTATCAAAGTCCACTGGTGTTGTTTTAAAAATTTTAACCATCATTGATCAGCGCTTCCACATGTCTCCAATCATCAACCCAAGAGCCCAGGTGAATTGAATCGAGGATCTGGTTAGTTCCTAAGGCAAGCAATCCTGTGCGGAAGAGAATGAACGGACATGGAGAATGAGCAAATCTTGGCGTTCCGGAGGAGAAAAGAAAGGGTAAGAGAACATTACTCTAAAAACGTCAACGATTTATTGATGTACGTTGCCTCCCTTGCTCCATCTCCAGTTGACCTTGTCTTGGATAGTCTCTGGCAAAGGAAAAAATAATGCAACTTGAAAGTTGAAACTCAAAACATGCAGCCTTATGGACATGCCTCCCTCGATTACACAATCATCATACTGTCGCCTCCTTTTGTATTCATTTTCTTTTGGGGCAAGTACGTTTGTGTCACAAACGAAGTTCAAAAGGGCAAAAAAAACAATAATGGGCAACGAAAAAATGGCCGTAGTTCGAAAAGGCAGTCATAACATCAGAAGGCATCAGGCCCCGAGTTTGAAAAGGGCGGTTGTAGCACACTTTCCCCTTTTTTTTTTTTTTTTTCCGCAGCCGTGGCCAATCTGGGGTGTGGCCGAGACATGTCGGCCGTGGCCAATTTGGGGTGTGGCCGAGACATCTCGGCCATGGCCCAATTTGGGGTGTGGCCGAGACATCTCGGCCATGGCCCAATTTGGAGTGTGGCCGAGACATCTCGGCCATGGCCCAACCATGGGGCCTTCTGTTTTTTTCTTTTTTCTTTTTTTTTTTCTTCTTTTTTTTTTCTTCTTTTTTTTTTCTTTTTTTTTTTCC